ATTCGACTCTAATATCATGATAAAGAAAATGGACATTGGGCCTAACTCAACCCCAAAGCTAACTCAAGAGATGAGGATTGCCCACTCCATATAAAGAGAGCAAGTCCCCCGTCCCTTAGCCAATGTGGGAGACTCAACAACGGTGACAAAATCGAAAGATTTTCTGTGGAAAAAGTTTTGAAACATTTTCCCAACTAATGAAGGAAAGCAACAAGAGGTACCACCAAGCTATAACAACCAAAGCAATTGTGGCAAAAACAAAAAATTATACGCATAATCTAAATTGATGTATGTATGGACTTTGGTCAATTTACTGTCATTAGGGAGAACATCGCCACATGCTTGTATATATCTATAAATTAGTTTCTACTTGGTATTTCTAGATGATCGAGATTTTTTACTTTGGACTAGTTCGGTGACCAAGCAGAATGCACTAGTGGGAGAATGTGCCAGAGACTTTTTAAGAGTCTGGGTAGTCCTCATATTTCAAAGTATTTTCTAAAGAAAGTTACTCTACTTCTTTTACTCTTTCACTAGCTTTTTAAGGGTTTTGTTTTCCCTTCGTTACTTCCTGTATCCATCAAAATAATTTTTTTCCCTAGAGTTTCTCATCCCACTTCACTCCTGGCTGGTTAATTATTTAGTCTTCCTACATTGGACAAACCATTCATTTTCTAACCTGCCTTTACCCTCTTTTCTTGTTTTAGTCGGACACTTGAGCAATACAAGGAAAAAAAAACATAGCATAATGAGCTTGACATATCCAATTGTTAGAAATAACAAAGAGATGCAGTTAAAATAGTGGAGTAGGTAAAAGCCACGGATTACAAATATTATGTTTTAATTTTATTTCACTTACAAAATTGTGAACATAACACAATAAAACAGCTACAAAAACTCCCATCTTTTTTTATCAAGTTCCATTTGTTGAACAGTATCTCTGCTATCTCTTCCCTGAATTTTTTTCCCTTTTGTTATATACCTCCAAAACTATGAATTGAACACTAAAAACCACTACAACAGTTCTTGTTTTAAAATTCCATCTTTTACAGCTGTACATCTTAATTTTCTTTTCCCTTTACTTTCTACTTCCAAAACTGCAAACTAAACACAATTAAATAGCCAAAAAAAAAATCATCTTTTGCAGGAATCTTCTTTCACCATTATTTTTAAAACTGTAAACTAGCTCTATTTCATCAAAATTGATTCCCAAATAGAAAATTCAACGCATAAAACTTAATTAAACTGAAAAAAACAAACTCACTTCAACACTTGTGCAGTTCCTTGAGTAGAACGGCCACTGGAAGAAGCTTTCGCACCGCGGTTGCTCTTGCCCATCAGTGAGTTCATTCGCTGTCCGAACGGCATCCGATCAATCTCTTCCTGCGCCCACTCTTCCTTCTCAGCCTTAGCGATCGCAGCATTCATTTTTGCATAACCATCCATAGCAACTTCTTTCTATATTCAAAAAAAACAAAAAAGATCGTTGTTTTTCTAGGGTTTCAATGCACAAATGAATTTTCTATGTTTATACAATCAAATGCACAGAAAAAATGTGAAGAATGACAGTAGAAGAAGAAGAATTTTACCTTTTTGCAGAGCTTTTTTTTGGTTTTTTGTGAGAGAATTTTGTTGCAACAGAGATGAATGAGAGAGAAAATGGATTTTGCAAACGTAAAGGTATTTGGCGCTATTTTTCTAATTTGGGCTTTAGTGGGTCGAATTATTTTGGGCCTTTTTGTGCCGGGTCGATCAGTCAAATACGTAACTTATTTCGATAAAAAAAATTATGTTGCTTAGTTGTTTATCGAAATAATAGTTAATAAATGTATTATTATTAATTTTTGTATATGTAATTTGCTCAGACAAGGATGGTCTTGGAAAAAAATTAGAGTTTTATGGATGGAAGTGAATTTTTTCTCAAAAATTGATCCATAATTGGAAAAAAATTTAAGACAGAATTTCAAAATATATGGTCAAGTAAATATTTAAAGATAGATTTATAAATTTTGATTAAAAATTCACAAGGACGGTCATGGGAAAAAAATTAGAGTTTTGTGTGTGTAAGTGAAATTTCTCTCAAAAGTTGGTCAATAATTGGAAAAAAATTTAACATAGATTTTCAAAATATATGGTCAAACAATTTAAAATATATGGTCAAACAAGTTAAATGTATGGTCAAATAAATATTTAAAGATAGATTTACAAAAATTGATTAAAAATTCACAAGGACGGTCTTGGAAAAAAATTACAGTTTTGTGGGTGGAAATAAAATTTCTTTCAAAAATTTGTCCATAATTGGAATTAAATTGAAGACAAATTTACAAAACATATGGTCAAACAAGTTAAATGTATGGTTAAACAAATATTTAAAGATAGATTTACAAAATTTGATTCAAAGGTCACAAGGAGGGTCTTGGAAAAAAATTTACAGTTTTGTAGGTGGAAGTGAAATTTCTCTCAAAAATTGGTCCATGATTGGAAAAATATTGAAGATATATTTTCAAAATATATGATCAAACCATTTAATATGTGGTCAAACAAGTCAAATGTATAGTCAAATAAATATTTAAAGATAGATTTACAAAATTTGATTAAAAGTTCGGATGGTCAAACAATTTAATTCACAATTCATTACCCTTAGTTTGGAATTAAAGGAAATCAAGAAAAAAAGAGGAAAATTGAATGAGAAAGTTAAAAGGAAAAAGACTTTCTTTCACCTATTAAGATCTATAATATTTTCGATTTGAAATCCCAAACAGTGTCAAGCGTGGCATGAAGAGTAATCTCACTCTATTTATAGTGTGTGAAAGCTAGAAAATACGCCAAAACGATATTCATGCGATATTTTACATAATTTTTTACTTGTTATTGTCTATTTCTGCAATTTGCAATATCGCAATATACGCCACAAGCTGTCACTTCAATTAAAGAAAAAAAAAAGGATAAAAGTTCAAAAATGTCCTTAAACTAAGCGAAATTGAATAAAAACATCACTCCTGACAGTACTTTGATCCAAAAACTCCCATGCCGTTAATACTATGGTCCAAAAATGCTCACTTTATCACATCTTCAGTCTCTTGCCCCTGCTTAGTTAACAGTGCAACTGCCGCGGAAACTCCTCAGCAGCTGCACAGACCTGAAAACCCCACCAAAATTTTACCTCATGGAGGAAAAACTAGTTCTGTGGCTAATGCAGCACATAATCAGACGAAGAACTCAAACAATGTTTCCCTTACTTGAGGAATTAATGTTGATATAGAAGCAACTACAAACTCAGACAGACTGACTCCAACACCTATAGTAAGAATCCCTTATAGCAAGTGCTAGCTCTATTTATCTTTCTAACTGACATCTTTTCAAATTGAAAAACTAACTATTTGGCATCAATTGAAGTATTCACCTTTTCATTTTAGAGTTTACTAATTTTTAAGTTCAAATTCTTGATTTACAACTACTTTAAGGTACGAATTGAATTAAGATCGTATGATCCTAGGATCTGATTGGAGTATCAAAAATTTAAGCTTGTTCACATCAGTTAACCCACCATGGCTCAGCAGAAGCAGAGAGACAAGAGCTGCAAATTTGTGAAGAGACTGGTTGTTGCTGCAGATTCTCAAAGACAAATATTAGAGCTGTGACCTTTGTTTCTTAGAAGAAAAGCATTTGGCTTCATCATATTGACCCCTCATTTTCATCACTCAGTGTTCTGTTGGTCCATCATTATTTTCCCTCATTTGAAACAACACGCTAAGCTTAGATTCAGAAAAAGATATCATAATATGCCTATAATCATTTGGTGTTTTTCCTTTTGCCGTAGATGTATCCCATAAGAGAGCAAAAGGTACCAAGAAAAAATGAATAGCAGATTCTGGAAATTCTTCTGAAGGTTGGATAAAGCAAGATTCTGCGCGATACACGGCATCCTTTTATCACATAACAATTGAGCTCTGGTTTCTATTAAGCAGCCAGAGTAACATACAGCAAATCCCAAGAAGTTATCGCACACATACCAATTTTCAGGTAATTTGACTGATACACTTTTATCTTTTCCCTGATGGTGGAACCATCTTGGGATATTTTCCCTCTCATTGGTAAACACTCTTAGTGACAAGGAATCTGAAGCACAGATATCATGCTGGAATGATGAGCAAGGGCGGACCTAGGTGGAGCCTAGGGGTTTCACCCGAACCTCCTCGTCAAAAAGTTACACTATATATATAACGTCAAATTCTGATTTTATGTGTGTATATATTAAAATGAACCCTGAAATCAAAGGATAGACTTGGCTCAGTGGATAAGTGGTTCATGGAATGCCCCTGGAAAATGGAACTTTTGGGCTTAGACCTTCTTCTTTTTCATTTTTTTTCCCTTTCATTCCATTTCTTCTTTTTAATTTGTTTTTGTTTAAATTTATTAGTATACATTCTTTTTATTTTTATATTTTATCTTTTTATATCTATTATTCTATTTGTTTCAACGTAACCCTTTTTTCTATATACGTTTGAACAACTTTTTTTTAAAATGATGAATTATATTTAACTTGAAATTGAGATAGAAATATAATTTATTTTTAAAAAAAATGTAAATTAGATGTAATTGAATGAAGAAACTTAAATATCGTCAACATGTACTTTTAAAAATATTAATTTAATAGAATTCATGAAATTTCTTTTATATTTTTAATTCTATTTTAGAGAGATGGAAACTAAACTTATTTGATTTATTCGTTATTTGTTTTTTTTTTACAAATTATGACTAACCTAGTAAATTGAATTATATGAACTAAAAAAATTGTCGATGCTATTTATTTATCTTCTAAATATGCATTATAATATTAGTAACTCTATTCTTACACACTTTTAGAGAATCTCGACGATTTTCATAGTAATATTTGATTGAATAGATACTAATTTAAAATTTTTAAAAAGTGAAATATAAAGTAAAACATTACAAAATAAAAGTAAAAAAAGCACAAGAAATTTTAAGAATGCTCGATGGAGCATGATAAAAGTAAAAAGACATGTTTAATACGCTATAATAAAGTGAGTTAAATTTAGCACAATTCCCTGTCTCACTCCCTTTTTCATCATTTAATTTTCACGTGTTTTAGGAATTAACTTATGTAATACAGTCGATCCACTAAAATTCTTATCAATGCATCTTTGTTCCTCGGCAACTACGCTCACCGCGCACTTACATTACCACCTTAACTTCTTATTTATACTTCGAACCTCCTGAGCAAAGATCTTGAGCCCGGCACTGATGATGATGAGATATTATGAAACAACGAATTATAGATCGAATCATTTCTCCGATCGGCATATATTGTGCCTAATTGCGGTATAAATTCTGGCAGCTGTGTAAGACTCTTGCAATCTAATAAGTTCAACGACTGAAGAGAACCAAGTCGGGCCATGCCTTGAGGCAAATGCTCAAAGTTATTTCCCCTGAGATTCAACTTTTTCAAAGAGGATAAGGATCCAATGTCATCCGGAAGTCCTCCATCTATTATATTGCAGTAGCTGAGATTCAACTCTTTCAAAGAGGATAAGGATCCAATGTCTTCCGGAAGTCCTCCATCTAATAAATTGCAGTAACTGAGATCCAGATCTTCCAATGAGTGTAGCCCTCCATTCACCGGAGGGAAGACAAAGTGCACTCCATCTTCGAGGCCTGCTTCTGATTTTTGTTTTGCAAAAGTCAATAATTTAAGCTTGTTCAAGCGGAAGATGGAAGACGGAGGTTGTGAAATTAGAGTATAGCTGGCATCAAGCTCCTCCAAGTTTTCTAAATGACCTATCTCTTTTGGCAAGCTACTGAGTTTTGAGCAGTAGGACACTTTTAGCATCACCAAATGTTTCAACTTGCCAATGCTGCGTGAAAGTTTTTCAAGGTTTTTCATGCCACTCAAATCTAGATTTGTAAGACTAGATTGGTGCTCAATCATAGCTGATGGTAGTTCACTTAACCCAGAGCATTGCACATGAATCCTTTTCTTCCGCTTCCCTTTTTCCTTGATGCTTGGAAATTTCTCTAAACCAGAGCAACCTTGTATATCTAGATATTCAAGAGACACCCCGCTGACAAATTCAAATGTCGCAAGCCTTTTACAATCTCTCAAATTTAACTTCTTGAGTTTTTTGGAATCTTTTAGGGAATGGTGAACCGTCGTAAGATTACTACACTCTTCCAGACCCAAATACTCTAAATTTGGCATATCCGTGAAATCTGGTGTTCCCCTGAGGTTTTCACAGCCGCTGAGAACTAGCCTCCGTAGGGAAGGAAATTTCTGCCATTCAGAACAGAAAAGGAATGAGATAGGAAAACAAGAAATATCAGGTGAAAGAATTCTCATAAAATTAAGGTAGATTTCGATTTGGCTAGTTCAAGAATGAAACTTTAAAAATTGGGATACTTTAGGTGTGTTTTTACCATTAACTCATCAATAAAAGGTGTATGAATGGTCTAGTTAAGATGTCTATCCGAAAGTTATCGTCAACTTTGATGTACTAGATCTGGGTACGTGCATTGCACGTTTATTCCAAAATTTGTATTGCAAATGACATTTTATCCCCTTCAAATCTTTGATATTTACGGGGAAAAAATTCATCATTGTTTCGATAGGAGCTAGATATATCTTCCTAATAAAAAGAATATACCTTTAACTAAAAAATTGACTAAAAGTGCAATAAAGTAAAAATAACTAACTATTGCACAAATTCAATATTCAAATGAGGATACTAAAATACCACATGCTAGACTAATGTATACGAAACAACAAACCTCGGTAAATTCTCAATAATAATAACAACACAACAACAAAAAGTTGTACAATAACAAACAAAAAACATAAATATTAAACTAAACAAATAAAAAGAGACGAGAGAAGAGAGCATAGAGATTTTCTAATTTTTATTCCAATTGGTTTAAGTGTGTACATTATTGTGTCAAATGTCACTATTTATAGGATAGTATTGAGAAACACAAAGAGTTGTCATAAATATGATATTAATCCATTTGAGATTATCGATGAGAGATGAGAGTTAAAAACATAATGAATATAATTAGTGAGAATTAAATACATTTACATAATGAAGAATTAGTGGTAATTTAATATTTAATTTATTAAATAATTTATAACATTTAAATGTAATGTAGAAATAAAACTATAATCTAAGGATAAAATATGTAAAAGAATTCAAATACATTAAATGTTTAATGGAAAATCATTTTGACTAATTATTACAAAATTCATAGTAACTATGATTATGAAAAATCATCACTATTACTACATGGAAGATGTAAAGATTGTTGGTTTTTTCTTGCTAATAATAACTTACAATTTAATAATAAGTATTGAATTGTAAGCCTAGCTGGAAATAAGAGTGTTAATTACCACAGTACGAACAGTCAAAATTCATTGAATCCCAAAATAAATATTAAATGAATTTTATTTTTTTTAAATAATTTGAAGAAAATAAATTAATAGTTACCCCCACTTATCTTACAGATTAAGATTGAAGGTTATTAGACTCTTCATTACCCAGATTTAAGTAGTACGTGAATACATGATTGCATTAAAATCTTTTGATGCATGAATTTAAATATAACTATTACTCACTATTCAATATTTAATTAATTAAATAGATATTAATATTTAATTTATTTTAGGAATAAGATAAGGGCAAAATGATAATCCAACTTTGAGGTTAGGAGTATGATATGATGATGATTTGATCAAAAGAAAATTAAAATTGAATTCAGCTATTGTACCTTTGTTTCAGTCCATAAATGAAGCAGTGAACTCTGCTGGAGATCAAGATGAACAAGCTTGTCAGGATCAAATTTTTCTGGCAATGATTCCCAAGGATATTTACAACAGTCAAACCAACGCAACTTGCTGGGAAGGTACTGATCATTGGAGCCATCATGTGTATTAAAACCATTGATGTATAATATCCTAAGGTTTTTCACAGCATTCATGGCGTTTTCCCTAAAGCTTAGGTATTGAATTTCTTGTACCCAGATTGCTTCAATTGACCTGGCCCCCTGACAAAAGAATCATTAGTCTACAAAGTATAACTTCAAATATCTGCATAAATAAAATCCGCACTCAGTATGACTACTTTCTCACTCCTCGCAATGCCAAATTTCTCATGTTCCGTTTATTTACTATTGCACTTGAAGTTCTTGAATAACTAGTGCCACTAGAAAAATCAAGGTACAGTATTAGTTAGGTCTTTCTCAAGAAATATGTTACTTAAGAGAAATACTTTGAGCAATTAATTTTGTAATTCTATTTTGTAGTAGTGCATTTTCTTGAGAAGTTCTTTAGAGTTGAGTCGAAAAGTTTTCATGTTGTGATAGAAGGAAACTGTAATTTAAACAACACCAATAACTGTCATCTTTTAAATAAAAAGTAATCGATGATCAAGTGCCTAACAGATCGAGGATCGGTAAGGTCAGTTTTGGCCTCACTTACTTGTATACTTGCTTTTGAGAATTCTTCGAAATCTTCAGTGAGCCATAGTCTGCTGAGTTCTTCCCTTTGCACTGTCACTATGTGTTTGCCCATCTTTTGTATTAAGTCATGCATTTCAATCGTATCTTTTTCAGAGATGAACACAAGAGATTTGTCAATTAACTCCCCCAATCCATCAGCAGCTTCAAAATCACAGCTCTCTAGAATTTCTTTGATCTTGGTTTGTTCTCTCCCTTTTAAGAAGCATGCAATATCTAGAAATATCTCTTGTTCTTTGGGCTCCAACCCATCATAACTTACTTTGAGTATTCCAAGAATTTTTGAATTAAAGTTTTTCTTTAATCCGTTAACAGCACTTCTCCACCTAATAATATTCTTCTCACGAAAGGAAGAACCCCACACTTCCAGGGCTAAAGGAAGGCCTTGAGCATGACGTACTACCTCCAACGTCATCTCCTCGAAACACTTATCTGGAACTTCATCTTTGAAGGCATATTGGTTGAACAACTTAACTGCATCATGTTCAAGTAGTGTAGTCACACGATATACAGCATCAGTTTTCCTTGTGAAATGCCTGTCCCTAGTTGTTGCAATTATTCTGCTGCCATTGCCAAACCAACCAAGATCCCCTGCAAGGTATTTCAGTTGGTCATCATGATCTATGTTATCAAGCACAACTAGAACCTTCTTCCTACAAAGTCTACGAGCCATCCAGTCCCTCCCGTCCTCCTTATCAAGCACACAATTTTCTTTTCCCCCTGCCAGTTTAGAGAGAAGAATACTTTGCAGAGAATGTATTTCATGCTTGTTTTCTTTACTGACCGGAAGGAAACAAGCACCATCAAATTTAGATGAGTGTATATCAAAAATAGCTCTTGCTATTGTCGTTTTACCAACTCCCCCAATTCCCCAGATCCACACCCTCCGGACATCATTGATTGTCATCTCTAGAAGGGAGTTGACTTTCTCTAAATGAGCATCTATTCCCACAATATCTTTCAAAGAAGATAAAGAAGTCGTGCATAATTTGGGCCAAATTTCATTAACAAGATCCTCAATAAAGTGTGCTTCATTCCTACAAAAAATAACAACATTATTGATATATACAGATAAGAGAGACGAGAATAAGCAGAATTTCACATCCAAACTCACCTATCACGGATATTGTGTCCTTTTATATTTGCAGCAGCAATTAAAGCAGTCCTCCATCCTTCGATCTTCTCATCCGTATACCTCGATTCGTGTCTGGCAAAGGCTTCTTTAAAGCTCTCACTTTGGTATCGAACATGTGATGGATCCACATCATAGAAGACTGGTATGACTGTTTGTCCATTATCTTCCTTGCATTTCATAATCTTCACTAGTTCATCCAAGCACCAACTCGATGTAGCATAATTTTTTGAGAAAATGATTACAGCAACTTGAGACTCTTCCATAGCTTTCTCTAGTTCTATCCAGAGGGTATCACCACTCTCTAGACTTTCATCATCTAGAAAGGTGAGTATTACCCTGTTTGTCAAAGCTTTGTACAAGTGACTTGTAAAATTATTGCGAGTATCTAAGCCTCTAAAACTTAGAAAGACATCGTACTTGCACTTCTGTTGAGGACATGAATACTGTGAATTACTCTCAGAAGGAGAAGATGATGATGCCATCAATTCTTGGAAGATTTGGAAGGTAATGGGGGTGGAATTCTTGTCTGGCAATGGAGATCAAAAGAGAGAAAACATGTTATTGTTGACCAATGATTGGGTTTTTAGAGAGTAAATATGAACAATTCATTATATTTTGGAGAGATGACATACAGGAGTGGGGTGGAGCCAAAAACATTGAATTGAATTAAATTATTGCTATTGGACTAGTCAACTGGTAAGTATTTCCACATACTAGCGGTAATACAGAATGAACTTTCTGTCCTGAAAAAAAAAAAAAAAAACTTTCTGTGAAGCTTCCCAACTGTGTGCATGTTAGTTGAAACGATCAATCCAAACACCCACTTAATTCAACTATATTTAGATTCATTTACTAGCGGTTTGAATATTGATTTAGGGTTAAAACGAAGTGAACAAGATAAATAAATTGCAGGAGTATAGATCTGAATGTTTGCTAGTGTATCCGGGACCCCTTAACCAGATTGTAAAGTTTCTGTGAAGATGGGGTCTACTCCAATTGAATTAGTCAACTTGTATCAATGCTGTAAAGCGGTAAGTAGTAGGAAATTTCTGTGATAGAATTAGACCTACCTACCCTAAAGTGGCTCCATACTCTACAGAAAATTGTACACAATGTACAACAAAAAGTACAAGCTGATGAAGAAGCAAAGAGAAAGAAGGGTAATTTCTTTGTCACCAACAGCTCAGCTAGACTTCACTCGTGTTCTTCTTGTTTGACAACTGTTTTTTTTTGGGTAGAAAAGATGATATATTTAACCTACTAGCTATTACACGGAGTGGCTACATAGCAGGGTTGAACATTTTTTATTGCATAGTAGCATTAGATAAAGCAGTGGGGGTAAAATAAGCAGCATGAGCACTAGGAGGATTATTTACAGCCCCAGAAGGGTGGAAAAACTACGCTGACTATTACAAAGGTGCTTTAAACGCGGGTAAACAGTGCCTGCTTTGTCAGCCCAATGCATTGGTAATGCAATCTGGAGTTTGGTCGAAAACTTGCCGTGAAAACCCTTATGGTTGTGGAGATTGCAAAAAATATACCTCCAGTACTTTTATTTTATTTTTTGGTTGTTCCCTTGACACTGGATTGGATTGACCAGTTTCAGTGTTTAGTTCCTATCCACCAACTATTTCTACCACATGTAGATTTGATTTGATAGTGGATCGATGTCAATAAACTCTACGCTTGCTTGATAGTGTCAAAGTATTTGAGCTCTGCATCCAAAGGAAGAATAGTTGCTCAACCACCAAGCTACATTCGATTCCTGGAAATAGTTTCCCTTTGCTCCGTTTGCTTTGTGATGTGAGGCGACTTACTGATAGTTCCATGGCTTCTTTCTCCCACCCGTTTTGGTGAAGTTTTCTTGCTTCTCACACATTCACCTGCAGTAGGATTTTGGACAGGCTACTCATCAGTAAATGTGAAGGTGTGATTTTAGTTCATAATAAAATGCAGCATTCTGGTCCTAAGAGAGGTGTAGTGTGACATTTGATAATCAACAACAACATACCCAGTGAATCCCACAAGTGGGGTCTAGGAGGGTAGTGTGTACGCTACGCAGGCCTTACCACAAGTTCACAACCCTGTGAGGGTAGAGAGGCTGTTTCCAAAAGACCCTCGACTCAAGTGCAATAAATCCAAGTAAAAGAAGAAGACATGACCTTTAATAATAATACCAGGCTATCAAGATTTCGTGAATCTCTTTCTCAGGCCCAGACACTAGTTGTTCTGTTACAAACAGAGGAAGCATGTGCTCTTCATAGGCCGTGTCACCGGTGTTGTTCTCTAAGTAATCCAAGACACTAGTTGTTCTGTAACAAACAGAGGAAATATGTGCCCCTTCATAGGCAGTGTTACCGGTGTTGTTCTCAAAGCAATTATGGTCCCACTTTGCACTGCAAACGTGAACCAAAACCAAAAGAGTGAAACTTGTCAAAACTACTTCTAAGTAATCATAACATAGATGCTACTTGTTACTTTTATAGAGATCGAAGTTAACAAGCCAGACAACAGACAATTGGTGCATTCAATCTTGGCTTAATAAGAGATGGAAGGTCATATATAGGCTATAGCCATTAACTCTATCACAGCTATAATTCTGAAATTTATCTGATGTTTTTGCAAATGGTAACATATTTTGTCTGCTGTAATTAAAAGTTAACACAAAGACTAGGTTTCTTATGTTTCGCATTTTCCTTCAAAAGAAGCATAAGAAAACTGAAGGAGATCATGAGCAAGGTTGAACCTCACCTGCATCTCTTGCTCCACCGTCTCACATTGTGCTGCATCTTTGATTGAACCTCCCTGCTATAACAAGAGAAATACTTATATTTAAAACAGAGATTTCTGTTAATATAACTGTTATACCTGTACTCAAATTATTTACTGGAACAAAATAACAACGGATTAATGAAGTTCTGAGCCCACACAAAACTGTGTATCACACTACACGTGATCTTTGAAGCCCAATTTTTAAAGAATCCCAACAATAACATTCTGAGAGGGTATCAAATGAAAATCATACAACAAAGTCAAAATATAAAACTCAGTACTCAAAAAAGCAGAATACTGACTTACAGTAAATGTATACAAATTGAACTCACCTTTTACTTGGTACAAAGATGAAAATGGCTCCTGCGGAAGTGTATTGCAAAAGTTAGAGAATGATCATTACCTTTCGACATGAAAACATTTGATGCAGAAGGGTTAAACTGACGCGTAACGTACAAGGAACTTCTGGTTTTTCCAAAATGAAAATTATATTGAAATGGTTTAAACAAGTTTCATAACTATTATTTGAGTCTTGGATTGAAGCTCTACTTGGGGTAATGGAGATTATTAGATCGAGGAGAATGTTCCCTTACTTGAGGAATCTGGATACAGATTAAGTTGAGACCTATGCATTTTTTGCCAACTATGATTGTAGCTCAAATATTACACAGCAAAGCCAAATATTCTAGCTACATGTCCATACGAAAGACTCCAATTAACCAATTTGTACAAAGGAAATAGCAATTGAAGTATTCATCTGCCAAAAAAACCATGATACTTCAAAACAAATATGATAATTGATTACTAAGGAGAAATCCTAGTCCTTCATTCTCACTGAAAAGGTGAGTAAACTAATCAAAAAGGTGCTCCTGTGGGTAAAGCAGCTCTATCGTCCATATGGAAATTCGAGCATATGGTTCTATCAAGGATTTTCAGTTTTTTTGTGACTTGCCTGCACTTCTTGAAATCTTTTCAAAATGACAGCATAAATTTCTGGCATCCATAACTCAAATAGTGGCTATTACTTCATCGAAATTTCCCCCAATTTGTAGCATTTTCTTTTCATTTTAGCACTTATTTTCAAATTCAACCAATTGATTTGCGAGTACTTTTAGGTACCAACTGAATTAATGTTGCATGATTCCAGAATCTGATCTAAGCATTGAAAATTTTAATTTCATGTTAGCCTTCAACTCACCTGGGTTAATCATGGCTCACACAAGCGGATATACGATGAAGAATCAATTGATAAAATTTACTGATTATATGTAAATCAACCATTGATGAACTCCTGTCAATAAGGGAAAAAAGAAAGAAAACACAACGGGAAAAAGAAAGAAGAATCAGCATAAAAAAATTATCAATATTAGAAGAAGATTTTGTAGATGATAGGAGGGAGAGAGCACAGTTTCATGACAAACGGGAAAAAGAAAATCATGAGGTATATTACCTATATTTAAGAAATATGGCCTTTGTTTCTAATGTTATTGAGTATTTGACATTTTAACTGGCTTCATTGGTCACGGAGTAATGGTGTTCACAATTTCCGTATCTTCTCGTACCCGTCATAACGAGATGCTCTGTTGGTTCATCATTATTTTCTCTCATTTGTAACAAGGCATCAGTTGCTGCCTATATGGAATTCACACTCCATCAAATGGATGTGCACAGTGCCTTCCTGAATGGATTCTAAAGGAGGACGTATATGTCAAGCGGCCTCAAGGCTTTGCAAACACTGAATTTCAAAACCATGTTTTCAAACTTGACAAAGCACTGTAACATACAGCAAATCCCAAGAAGCTATCCATTCCCTGATGGTGGAACCAACTTGGGATCTTCTTCTCAGGATGCTCGATGATAAACACTCCTAGTAACAAGTTAAATGTGAAGGTTCAATTTAGGATAGAGGGATTAAGTGCCAAACTGAGTCGTCCCACCTAAAGCTTTTAAAGTTATGTAATGTTTAAGAAACTTCTGGTCTTTCCAAAATGAAATATATTTTCCAAGTAAAATGGTGAACTTCAGTTTCTGATGAAGAGCATACAAGAGTAGTTTCTTTCTAGTTGGATAGCCATCACAATAGTAAGCATCTGTGGCATTCAAGTTTAGTTCTATAAATTAAAATTCAAGTTATGTTCTAGAAATGAAATTCAGAGTGCTCACTTCATCAACATCTTCAGAGTTTAGTCTCTTGCTCCTGCTTAGTTAACTGTGGCAACTGCCGCATAAACTCCTCAGCAGCTGCACAGGCCTGAAAACCCCACTAAAATTTACTGCATGGAGGAAAAACTAGTTCTGTAATTAATACAGCACATAATTAAATGAAGAACTAAGAGAATGTTTCCCTTACTTGAGGAAGTAATATGATATATAAGCATCTACAGATTAGTTGAGAACTATTCCATTTTTTTCCAAATGTTGGGGATTGATGCTCAAACATCACACAGCAAACCAAAGAGGTTTAGATATACATCCTTATCAAAGACTCCGATTGCGGATCACCCAATTTGAACAATGGAAATAGCAATTGAAGTATTCATCTGAAGTGATACTTCAAAATGAATATGATAATTGATTCTAAGGATAAATCCTAGTCCTTCATTCTCACTGAAAAAGGTGCGTGAACTAATTAAAGAAACAAAAAATACTTGATTTCAGAAAATCACTTTAGAGCCAATTGAATCGTAAAAAGAACCACAAATGAACAAGTCGAAAAACAAAATTGAGTATAATATAGAACTTAAGAGAAATTTGTTTCCAATACTCTATGGAGTCGTTCGGTGTGAGGTATAAGGTATAATATTCTCGGGATAAATGCAGGATAATTTTATCATGTGTTTGGTTGGAGGTATTAGGTAGTGTTTGAATTATTTATCCCACTATTTATAATTTTATACTATATTGATGGGATAAGTTATTCCATATACATAGTAGAATAGCTTATCCCAGGATAATTATAACCAGGATAACTTGTTCCCAACCAAATGACCTTAAGGGTTATTTGGTATGAGGGATAAGTGATAAAAATACCAGGATAAAATGCAGGATTATTCTATTCACTTGTGAGCACATTTTAAGGTAAGAATTTATGAAGATTGAATGATTCCAAGATCTGATTTGAGTATCGAAAAAAAAACTTGTTCACATCCTTTAACTCACCATGGTTAATCATGGCTTAACACAAGATGGAGAATCAATCAACAAAACTCACTGTTGATACATACATCACCATTGATGAGCTCCTGTCAGTACGGGAAAGAATAAAGAAAAAAAAAGGAAAAGAAATGAAAAAGTTATTAACAGAATTGGAAGAAGACTTTGTAGCTAATAGGAGAGAATTACATAAAAAGAGAGTTGAACAGAATTTCACTACCAACTAGGGGAAAACAAATCATGAGGTATATTACCTATATTTAAGCCAAAATTCTGGGCTTGGGGGGAGAGAGCTGCAAAGTTTCTGAAGAGACTGGTTGTTGCTGCAGATTCTCAAAGACAGCTCCTCCAATGAATATTATAAATAAGAGCTTTGTTTCTTAGAAGAGGAACAATTGGCTTCATCATGGTGTCCCAATGCAATGTTCTGTTGGTTCATCTTTATACAACAAACGGAATCCAAACTCCTTCGTTTCTCCGGAGAACGATAATGTAATAAGCCCATAGTCATTTGGTGTTTTTCCATTTGCCTTAGATGTTTCCCATAAGCCAGCAAGAGATACCAAGAAAAAATGAATCGTAGGTTCAGTATCACATTCTGAATCGTCGGATAATTCTGTATCATAATTTGGAAGGAAGGATAATTCTAGTTTCTGGTCATCCCATCATCACATAAGGGAATCAAGTCAACTGTGGTGTCAACTAGGTTGCCAGAGTAACATACAACTAATCCCAAGAAGTTATCCAATACATACCAATTTTCAGGCAAATTGATCGATACACTTTCATCCTTTCCTTGATGGTGGAACCAACTTGGGATCTTATTCTCATCATGCACAATGGTAAACACTCTTTGTGACAAGGAATCTGAAGCAGAGATGTCATTCGGCAAGGAAACGATATCCTGAGACAAGGAACGTGGAAGTGAGATATACATGGAATTTAGATCCCTCATCACACTATCTAACATGTGAATATCCGACTTCACATTCATGCTTCCAAGGATTTCCGGAAAATTTTCTAAACTAGAGCACCCCTCTAGATTCAGATATTCAAGGGAATCGATGCACAGAACTGGAAGCCTCTTGAGCTTTTTACAATTAGTCAACTTTAATGTACAGAGCTTTTTGAGACGTCCCAGGGAATGATGAACCTCTTCAAGAATTATACAATTTGACAGATTCAAAGTCGCCAAGTTTTGCATCCCTTCGAAACCTGGCAACTCTTTAAGCCTCTTGCAATCTGATAGGTCCAAAGACCGAAGAGCACCAAGTTGGGCTATGCTTCGAGGCAAATGCTCAAAATTATTTCCAGAGAGATATAACTCGTTCAGAGAGGATAAGAATCCAATGTCTTCCGGAAGACCTACATCTATTACATTGCAGTAACTGAGATTCAGATTCTCCAACAAGCGTAATCCATCAGACACCGCAGGGAAAACAAAGAACACTCCAGCTTTGAGGCCTACTTCTGATTTTTGTTTTGCGAACCGCAAGAAATGAAGCTTGTTCAAACAAACAATGGAAGGCGGAGGTTGCAAAATTAGAGTATTTTTGGCATCAAGCCACTCCAAGTTCTCTAAATCACCTATCTCTTCTGGTAAGCTTTCAAGTTTTGAGCATGCCGACACATTTAGCTCCACCAAATTTTTCAACTTACAAATACTGCTCGGAAGTGTTACAAGGTTTTCTAAACCTCTCAAGTCTAGGCACTTTAACCCACTCTTTAACTTCAAATCCATGCTTCCGAGGATTTCTGGAAACATTTCTAAACTAGAGCACCCCTCTAGATTCAGATATTCAAGGGAATTAATGCACAGAACTGGAAACCTCTTGAGCCTTTTACAATTAGTCAACTTTAATGTACAGAGATTTTCAAGACATTTCAGGGAATGATGAACCTCTTCAAGATTCATACAATTTGACAGATTCAAAGTCGCCAAGTTTTGCATCCCTTCGAAACCTGGCAACTCTTTAAGCCTCTTGCAATCTGATAGGTCCAAAGACCGAAGAGCACCAAGTTGGGCTATGCTTTGAGGCAAATGCTCAAAATTATTTCCAGAGAGATATAACTCATTCAGAGAGGATAAGAATCCAATGTCTTCCGGAAGACCTACATCTATTACATTGCAGTAACTGAGATTCAGATTCTCCAACAAGCGTAATCCATCAGACACCACAGGGAAACTAAAGTACACTCCATCTACGAGACCTCCTCCAGAATTTTGTTTTGCAAAACTCAAAAATTTAAGCTTCTTCAACTGGACAATGGAAGATGGAGGTTGTGAAATTAGAGTACCTCTAGCATCAAGATTTTCCAAGTTTTCTAAATCTCCTATTTCTTCTGGAAAGCTTTTAAGCTTAGAGCAATCCGACACATTTAGGCTGACCAAACTTTTCAACTTACAAATGCTGCTCGGAAGTGTTGCAAGGTTTTCAAAACCTCTAAAACCTAGATCCCTTATTACACTGTCGAGCATGTGAATCTCTAACTCAGCTTTCATGTTTCCGAGGATTTCTGGAATTTTTTCTAAACTAGAGCAATCCCGTAGACACAGATAATCAAGAGAATCAATGCACAGAGCTGGAAACCTCTTAAGCTGTTTACAATTAGTCATTTTTAATGTACAGAGCTTTTTGAGAAGTCCCAGGGAACGATGAACCTCTTCAAGATTTATACAATTTGACAAATTCAAAGTCTCCAAGTTTTGCATTCCCATGAAGATTGGCAACTCTTTAAGCCTCTCACAATATGACAAGTCCAAGGATCGAAGAGCACTAAGTTGTTCTATGCTTCGAGGCAAACGCTCAATGTTAATTATACTGAGATTCAGCGTCATCAAGTTTGGCATCCCCATGAAGTCTGGCAGCTGTGTAAGCCTCTTGCAATTTGATAAGTTCAAGGATCGAAGAGCACCAAGTTGGGCTATGCTTTGAGGTAAATGATCAAAATTATTTCCCTGGAGATTCAAGTGTTCCAAAGAGTATAAGGATCCAATGTCTTCCGGAAGTCCTCCATCTTTTAAATTGCAGTAACAGAGATCCAGATCTTCCAATGAGTGTAACCCTTCATTCACTTGAGGGAACTCAAAGTACACTCCCTCTTTGAGGCTTATGTTATATCTTTGTTTCGCAAAACTCATGAATGTAAGCTTGTTCAAGCGGAAGATGGAAGACGGAGGTCGTGAAATTAGAGTCCCTGTGGCATCAAGCTTCTCCAAGTTTACTAAATCTCCTAGATCTTCTGGCAAGCTTTCAAGTTTATAGCAATTCGACACATCTAGAGTAACCAAGCCTGTCAACATGCCAATGCTTCTCGGAAGAGCTTCAAGATTATCCAAATGTCTCAGAGTTAGGCACTGAACAATATATGATGGCAGTTCCCTTATCTCAGAGTCACACATCTTAATATTTAAGTTCGGCCTCGGTCTTCCGCAGATCTCTGGAAATTTCTCCAAACGGGAGCAGAACTTTAGATCCAGATATTCAAGAGATTCCACGTTAACATATGGAAACCACTTGAGGCGTCTACAATATATCAAATTCAACCTCTTGAGTTTTGTGCGACATCCCAGGGATTGGTGAACCTCTTCAAGATTAATACAATTGCCCAAATCCAAATTCTCCAAATTTGACATCTCCGTGAAATCTGGTGTTTGCGCCAGGTCTCTAGAGCGGCTGAGATCTAGCGTCCGTAGATACGGAAAACGCTGCTATTCAGAACAGAAAAAGGATGAGAAAGGAAAACAAGAACAGACAGGTAAAAGAATCTGTAAAAAAAATTGGCTGAGGTTTCAGTACGTTTATCCAAATTAAAAAAAAAAAAATTAGCCAAGGAAGTAGAGTTCCAACAGTGTTTTCTTTTTATTCTCTCTTTAGATGCAATGACTATTTATTTCAACATTGTATTTTTCTATAAAATAGTTGTACATAAGTTACCCTTCATGTCCGTCCCACTACATGCAATCTCAGGATGCGATTCATATCTTGCTAGGGAAATGTTTGAACCACTTAGCTTCTTATAAGTTAATATATGATAGGAAGATTTGGGAGAAAAACGACATAAAGATCTTCCAGTAATAGATATGAGAATAACCCAAAATCTATCTATATATCCATCTATCTATCTATCTATATTTATATCTATACTACCTTAAAAGCATGAACTCCCTAACTTTATGTTAAATCACTATAATACCCCCAACTTAAAACACCCAGTTTATTATATATTCTATATTTAATATTATATTTATATCACTATATTATATTAAATGCATACACCTTTTCACATTGATGGGTAGTGACTTTTTTTATAGAGTTGTGACTTTTCGATGAGTTATATTATATTATATTAAATTGTATTATATTAAAGTCAGACAACTTTTCACATTGAAGAGTTGTGACATTTTTGAAGAGTTATAACTTTCCTGATGAGTTGTGACCACTTTGAAGGGTTGTGACTTTTCTATAGGGTTGCGACTTTTCCGAAGAGTTGTGACTTTTCTAAAGGGTTGCGACTTTTTCGAAGATTTATGACTTTTCCGATGAGTTTTGACCTTTCTAAAAGGTTGTGACTTCTTTTTTATAAGGCACCACGAGCAGTTTTTTATACACTACCCTTTGTTGGCTGTAAAAAAAAGGGGCTTCATCAGTTCTATATTTTTATGATAAGAAACAATATGCACATACTAATACCACACATTTTTAACTATAAATGGACGGATTTTCTCACATTTTTAAACTACGATTTTTTATGTTTTCTATTCTTCTCTTCTTAAAACCTCAAGTTTTGATTTACAAACGTTTGACAATCTCAAAGTTCAGTGAAATTAGAACACTCCATAACATGAATGTTAAATTAATCTAATACTCCAACTAAAACATCCAATTTAGTATATCTTCTATATTTGATATCAATATTTATTTATATTTTATTATATTAAAAGTAAGAACAACTACAAAACAATAATAACAAAGTAATGCACTATGGCGAAGGGAGTAGAAAGTTTATTTTAGAGGTGTAACTAAGAGATTTTAAGAGTGACTAATTTTTTATTTAGCAATATTCATATTATTTTTAAAATAGTGTGGTACATGGTTTGATTTTCACGTGCAACGCACGTGCGTCAAAACTAGTTATATAAAATATATTAATTTGAGTTTATGGATTTAACAACTTCTTTTCATTTTAAAGACACGCATCATAATTTCAGAACAAGCCAAAATATAAAGTATATCAAATAAAACAGTCTGAAAGAAAAAGTATCTGTGCATCACTGAAGGACAAATATAGTTAGAGAGAAAATAAAAATAAACAAGAATTTAATTATTGTACCTTTATTCCCGTCCATAAATAACGCAGTGAACTGAAGCGGAGTTGAAGATGAACAAGCCTTTTGGGTTCAAAATTTTCTGGCAATGACTCGCAAGGAAAGTGATTCCAGACAAACCAACGCAAGCTGTTGGGCAGGTACTCAATGGAGCCATCATCGCAAGGGGAGTAATCTTGGGACCATATGTATAATATCCTAAGTATTTCCATATTTTTCATGGCCTCTTTCCTAAAGCATATTTCCCCATCGTAATGAAACCAGATTGCTTCCATTGCCTCGGTTCCCTAGTAAAAAAGATCATTTCTTTACAAAAGTATAACTTCAAATGTCGTATAAAATTCAATTGCCAATATGATTACTTCCTCAATCCTTGCAGTGCCAAATTAGCGTACAATATTTGCTAGGTCTTTTAAATGAAATATGTTGCTTAAGAGAAGTATACTTTGTGCAATTAGTTCAACAGTTCTATTTTCTATGGAGTTACACATTTTCTGAAAAGTGCTTTAGAGTCAAGTCTGAGAGTTTTTTCATGCAGTGACAGAAAAAAATTGTAAAGTAGTAGTGCCAATAACTTGTAATTTCAACGGTAAAGTGAATTCCTGATTGAGTTAGTATATATAAAATCTCAAACAAAATTCAAGTTATTTAAAAAAAAAAAGAAGTTGACTTAAACAAAGTAAGTGGCTACTAGACTAAATCATGGCTTAGTAACATAAGAAAAAACAAATTAGGCAGCGGTAATTAAAGTGGCTACTTGACGAACTAGGCGGTGTTAGACAATTAATGTTACTTGCTTCTACTACTAAAGTAAAAAACTGATGTGACTTAAGTGCGGAAATATGAAGTAAGAAGAACAAATAATGGAATTGACCCTATTTGTCTTTGGAATATGAAAATTAGAAATTGAATATTATTGTATTGTTTAGTCTACTTACTTTATTGTTGACCATCACTTCTTCAAAATCTTCATAGTCCCATATTCTGCTACATTCGCCTGCATCCTTTTGAATTTTCACTATATATTTACCCATATCTTGTATTAAGTCATGCATTTCAATTGTATCATCTTCAGTTAAGAACACAAGAGATTTGTCAATTAGGACATCCAATCCATCAGCTCCAAAATCACAGCTCTCAAGGATTTGCATGACTTTCTTTTTTTCATCTCCTCGGAAAAAACAAGCTATATCTAGAAATATCTGTTGTTCATGGGATCCAACCCATCATAACTAATTTTGAGTTTTTTGAACAATCCCTGAACTATAGTTTTTCTCTATATAGTCTATAATTCTTCTCCACTGACTTAGGTCTTTCCTATGCAACAAAGAACCCCACACCTTGAGGGCTAAAGGAAGGCCTTTAGCATGATCTACTACCTCCAACGAGAATTTCTTAAAACGCTCATCTGGAACTTCTTTTTTGAAAGCATACTGATTGAACAGTTGCAAAGCTTCAAGATCAGGTAGTGTAGGCACTTCATATATTGCATCAGCATTCTTTATCAAAGCTCTATTTCTAGTTGTTACAACAACTCTGCTGCCACTACCAAACCAACCAACATCACCTGCTAAATACTCCAAATGATCTCTTTCATCAATGTCATCAAGCACAATTAGCACCTTCATAGAAGAAAGTCTGCTCGGAATCATGCACTTCCCCTCTTTCTTATTATTGACATAATCATCAGTCTCTACTAACAGTTCAGAGAGAAGAGTATTTTGTAAATAATGCAGTTGATTCTTTTTGGCATTTTCTTTAACATCCTCGAGAAAACAAGCAGCTTTAAATTGATAAGATAGAGTATGAAAGATGGCTTTTGCTATTGTCGTTTTACCAATTCCACCTGTTCCCCAGATCCCTAAGATCCGAACATCATCAATTTCTATTTCAAGTCGGGATTTTAGTTTCTCTAAATGAGCATGTATTCCCACAACATCTTTCAAAGAAGATAAAGAATAAGCACTATTGCCTAATTTGGAAGAGATGTGGGCGACGATCTGCTGAATATTCTCATATTTAATCCTACATAAATAAGAAGATTGATTGTGGAAAATGTGAGAAAGTCAAGTATAAGTAAGTATTTCATGTTGTTAAGGGTAATAGCAACAATCTATATGTAAGTTGCAAAACTTGAATAGTTTATGAGGATTTTTATGTGTTCTCTCTAATTAAACAGGACTGTGCCTTCTTACTGACAGAAACATATTTAATCTACCATCATTCTTTTATATGCTTTTAATTGATAGGACTATGCCTTCTTACTGAAAAGACCGAACTCTTGAAGAACCAATCAACATATTATCTACCTAACAATGTCATTGAGCAATAAAACTAATAGGAACTATGCCTTCTTATAGATAGAACTATATAATTATTCTATTTTTAGAAAATATGAAAAATTATTTAAGAAATATATAATATTCTGATTGACTCATTTTGGTAGGTAGTCTTCATAGAAGCATCCAAATTTGAATGGAAATAATTCTGTTTCTTCTTTCATGAAAAGCAATTATGTTATTTTAACTCACCCGTTACGGATATCGAATCCTTTTAGATCTGCAGCAGCAGTTAGGGCATTCCTCCATCCTTGAACCTTCTGCATTCCTTCAGCATCATCCTTATACTTTGATTCGTGTTTGGCAAAGGCTTCTGCAAAGCTCTCCTTTTGGTTTTGAACATGTGATGGATCCACATCATAGAACACCGGTATGACTGTTTGTCCATTTTCTTCCTCCTTGCATTCCATAATCTTCACTAGTTCATCCAAGCACCAACTCGACGTAGCATAATTTTTTGAGAAAATGATTACAGCAACTTGAGACTCTTCTATAGCTTTCAAGAGTTCTTCTTGGATAGAATCGTCATGCTCTAGCCTTTTGTCACCTTGAAAGGTGAATATTCCCCTGTTTCTCAAACCTTGGTACAAGTGACCCGTAAATGTTGTGCGGGTATCTTCACCTCTAAAATTTAGGAAGACATCATACTTCCGTTGAGGCAACTGTGACGATTTAGCAGAAGAAGAAGATGATGCCATGGAGTCATTGTTTTCCCTTATTTGTAACAATCCCTCAAGCTTTGGTTCGTCTTTATACAACAAACGAAATCCAAACTCCTTCATTTCTCCAGAAAAAGATAGCCTAATAAGCCCATAGTCATTTGGTGTTTTTCCATTTGCATTAGATGCATCCCATAAGCCACCAAGAGGTACCAACAAAAAATGAATAGCATATTTCTCAAGATATTCTGAATGGTTGGATAAGGCAAATTTCTGGGTCATCGACGACATCCCATCATCACATAAGGGAATCAAATGAGCAGTGATGTCATCAATTAATTCGTCATAGTAACATACAGCAAATCCCAAGAACTTATCCGATACATACCAATTCTTAGGCAAATTGACTGATACACTTGTATCCATAATTCCCTGATGGTGGAACCACCTTGGGATATTCTCCCCCCAACTTGTAAACACTCTTAGTGACAAGGAATCTGAAGCAGAGATATCATGCTGCAATGATGAGATATTCTGAAACAATGAATTACAGATTGAATCATTGCTCCAATCTGCATTTATTGTATCTAATTGCTGTGGAAATTCTGGCAGCTGTGTAAGCCTCTTGCAATGTGATAAGGTCAAGGATCGAAGAGCACCAAGTTGGGCTATGCTTAGAGGCAAATGCTCGAAATTATTTCCATCGAGATTCAACTCTTTCAAAGAGGATAAGGATCCAATGTCTTCCGGAAGTCCTCCATCTTTTAAATTGCAGTAACTGAGATCCAGTTTCTCCAATGAAAGTAACCCTTCATTCACCTGAGGGAACACAAAGCACACTCCATCTTCTAATTGATTATTTGCAAAAGTCAAGAATTTAAGCTTGTTCAAGCGGACAATGGAAGGTGGAGGTTGTGAAATTAGAGTCCCTGTGGCATGAAGCTCCTCTAAGTTTTCTAAATCACCTATCTCTTTTGGCAAGCTTTCAAGCTTTGAGCAGTAGGACACTTTTAGCTTCACCAAACCTTTCAACTTGCAAATGTTGCATGGAAGTGTTGCAAGGTTTTTCATGTCACTCAAATCTAGCTCTGTAGAACTAGATTGGGGCCGAATAATAGCTGATGGTACTTCCCTTATCCCAGAGCGTTCCACGTGAATCATTCTCCCACAGATCCTTGGAAATATCTCTAAACTATAGCAACCACCTAGGTGCAGATATTCAATAGATTCCCCATTAACACATAGAAACCTCTTTAGGTGTCCACAACTTCGCAAATTTAATTTAATGAGTTTTCTGCAACCACCTAGGGAATGGTGAACCTCTAGAAGACTCGAACATTCCTCCAGATTCAAATACTCCAAATTAGGCATCCCCGTGAAATCTGGTGTTTTCCTCAGGTTTTTGGAGTAGCTGAGATCTAGCCTCCGTAGAGACGGCAAATGCTGCAATATATTCAGAATATAGAAAGAATGAGTTATATAGGAAAACAACAATAGTAGCTGCCTTGGATTTAGATTTAGCTAGGGGCTTATCTATGAATCAAATGACCTGTGTTTAATTGAAAAATAAGCTTCCAAGTGGAATATTTTTCGCAAATCTCTTCTTGCTTCTTCTTAATTAGAATGCCCATTTTAACCCAAATTTGTATTTTTTTTTATTCTTTAGATGTAATGGCTATTTGCTTTAATTGTGTATTTTTTTCTTTATTGGGACCAAATCCATAGCAAAGTAACTTGGCTAGAATTCCACTGTTTTAGCCAAACAGAAAAGTTATGCCAAAATGATTCAGTTCCAACTACATATTTCTTTTTGTTTCGTCTTTAGATGCAGTGACTATTTATTTCAAGTGTGTATTTTTTGGGGGGCAAAATATGTATATAAAAGATTTTTGGTTGCAGTTCCGTTGATTTTCAGCCAAACATAAACTTTTTAGCCAAAATAATGGATTGTGTAATTTTTTTTTTCTTCTTTAGTTGCAATGACTATTTATTCTAATTGTGTATTGTTTTTTCCAGACCAAATCTGTAAAAACAGTTGGTTGAAATTTCATTATGAATATCCACATAAAAAGAAGATTAAGCCAAGGTAGTAAAGTTCCAACTATGTTTTCTTTCTAGTTCCTCTTTAGATGCAATGACTATTTATTTCAACATTGTATTTTTCTTTTTCGGGCCAAGCCTGTGAGAAAAAACTGGTTGAAACCCCATTACTTTTACTAAAATGAAAATTTTTAGCCCAAGTAATGGAGTTCCAGCATGTATTTTAAAATTTTGGTCCAAAACTTAAAAAGGTTAAAAAGTGTGTGTATATATATTGTTTCAAAAGATGTCACGTGGAAGCATGGATCTCAACCTGGGACTCGCCGGGAGGATAAATGATAACAAAGAGAGTAATGAAAACAACACAAGTTGTTAAATTGAGCTTCTTAGTTAAAATTATGATGCAACGATTTGAAAGAAAACGACCTAAAAGATATTATAATAACTTAATTCATTTGAACACGAGCATGACAACCCAAAATACAAAGTATCTCAAATAAAACGGTACCTTTATTCCCGTCCATAAATGATGCAGTGAGCTGAAGCGGAGTTCAAGATGAACAAGCCTTTTGGGTTCAAAATTTTTTGGCAATGACTCCCAAGGAAAGTGATTCCAGACAAACCAACGCAAGTTGCTGGGCAGGTACTCAATGGAGCAAAGGGAGTTATCTTGGGACCATATGTATAATATCCTAAGTTTTTCCATATCTTTCATTGCGTCTTTGCTAAAGCATATATTTTTATCATCACGAAACCAGATTGCTTCCATTGCCTTGGTTCCCTGGTAAAAAAGATCATTTCTTTACAAAAGTATAACTTCAAATGTTGTATAAAATCCAATTGCCAATATGATTACTTTCTCAATCCTTGCAGTGCCAAATTAACTTACAATTTGTTAGGTCTATTTAACAAAATATGTTGCTTAAGAGAAATACTTAGTGCAATTAATTCAACAATTCTATTTTCTAATGGAGTTATACATTTCCTAAGAAGTTCTTTAGAGTCAAGTCTGAAAGTTTTTTCATGCAGTGAGAGAATAAAATTGTAAGTGTAGTAGTGCAAATAACTTATAATTTTTTCAAATAAGAAATTCATCGGTAAAGTGAATTCCTGATTGAGTTAGTATATATAAAATGTCATACAAAATTCAAGTTATCTCAAAGAAAAAAGTTGGCTTAAACAGAGTAAGTGGCTACTAGACTAAGAGCTTGTTTGGATAGGCTTAAAACTTTTGGCTTAGTTTTATCTTTTTGACTTAAAAACAAGTGCTTAGAAGCATATTTTTATTTTACTCAAACACTATAGAAGTGCTTAAAAGAAATTTCAGCTTAAAAGCACTCGAAAAAAAACAATCCGAACAGGCTCTAAATCATGACTTAGTAACACAAGAAAGACGAATTAGGCGGTTGTAGTTAAAGTGGCTAATTGACGAACTAGGCAGTGTTAGACAATTGATGTTACTTACTTCTACTACTAAAGTAAAAAATTGATGTGACTTAAGTGCGAAAATATGAAGCAAGAAGAACAAATGATGGAATTGACCCTATATGTCTTGGGATATGAAAACTAGAAATTGAATATTATTGTATTGTTTAGCCTACTTACTTTATTGTTGATCATCATTTCTTCAAAATCCCATATTCTGCTACATTCGCCCGCATCCGTTTGAATTTTCACAATATATTTTCCCATCTCTTGTATTAAGTCATGCATTTCAATCGTATCTTCAGAGATGAACACAAGAGACTTGTCAATTAGCACACTCAATCCGTAATCAGCTTCAAAACCACAGCTCTCAAGAATTTGCTTGATTTCGGTTACTTTTTTCCCTCTTAAGAAGCATGCAATATCTAGAAATATCTCTTGATCTTCACGCTCCAACCCATCATAACTTACTTTGAGGTTTTCAACAACTGTTGAACTAGGGTTCCTCTTTATTCGATCAACAGCACTCCTCCACCAAATAATATCCCTGTTACGTAAGGAAGAACCCCACACTCTCAGGGCTAATGGAAGGCCTTGAGCATGACGTACTACCTCCAACGTTATCTCCTCGAAACACTTATCTGGAACTTCATCTTTGAAGGCATATTGGTTGAACAACTTAACTGCATCATGTTCAAGTAGTGTAGTCACAGGATATACGGCATCGTTTTTCCGTATGATATGCATGTCTCTCGTTGTTGCAATTATTCTGCTGCCACTGCCAAACCAACCAAGATTCCCTGCTAGGTAATCCAATTGGTCATCATGATCTATGTTATCAAGCACAACTAGAACCTTCTTCAAACGAAGTCTATGAGAAATCAGGTCCCTCCCTGTCTCCTTATCATTCACACTTTCTTTTTCCCCTACCAGTTTAGAGAGAAGACTACTTTGCAGAGAATGTATCTCATGCTTGTTTTCTTTACTGACCTGAAGGAAACAAGAACCATCAAATTTAGATGAGTGTATATCAAAAATAGCTTTTGCTATTGTCGTTTTACCAACTCCCCCAGTTCCCCAGATCCACACCCTCCGGACATCATTGCTTGTCATCTCTAGAAGGTAGTTGACTTCCTCTAAATGAGCATCTATTCCCACAATATCTTTCAAAGAAGATAAAGAAGTCGTGCATAATTTGGGCGAAATTTCATTAACAAGATCCTCAATACAGTGTGATTCAATCCTACAAAAAATAACAACATTATTGATATATACAGATAAGAGAGACGAGAATAAGTAGAATTTCACATCCAAACTCACCTTTCACGGATATCATATCCTTTTAGATCTGCAGCTTCACTTAGAGCAGTCCTCCATCGTTGCACATCATCCTTATACCTCGATTCGTGTTTGGCTAAGGCTTTTGCAAAGCTCTTACTTTGGTATCGAACATGTGATGGATCCACATCATAGAAGATTGGTATGACTAATTGTCCATTTTCTTCCTTGCATTCCATAATCTTCACTACTTCATCCAAGCACCACCTCGACGTAGCATAATTCTTTGAGAAGATGATTACAGCAACTTGAGACTCTTCTATAGCTTTCACTAGTTCTTTCGAGAGGGAATCACCATTCTCTAGCCTTTTCTCATCTAGAAAGGTGACTATTCCCCTGTTCGTCAAAGCTTTGTACAAGTGACTTGTAAAATTTTTGCGAGTATCTGTGCCTCTTAAACTTAGAAACACATCGTACTTGTACTTCCGTTGAGGACATGAATACTGTGAATTACTCTCAGAAGGAGAAGATGATGATGCCATCAATTCTTGGAAGATTTGGAAGGTAATGGGGGTGGAATTCTTGTCTGGCAATGGAGATCAAAAGAGAGAAAACATGTTATTGTTGACCAATGATTGGGTTTTTTGAGAGTAAATATGAACAATTCATTATATTTTGGAGAGATGACATACTGGAGTGGAGGGGAGCCAAAACCATTGACTTCTAGTCAACTGGTAAGTATTTCCAACTATATTTAGATTCATTTACTAGCCGTTTGAATATTGATTTAGGGTTAAAACAAAGTGAATAAGATAAATAAAGTGCAGGAGTATAGATCTGAATGTTTCAGTGTGTTTGCAAGTCTATCCGAGACCCCTTAACTAACCAGGTTATGGTTGACTGTTTCACCCTTAATTAGAAATCTCATGTTCAAGCCTTGGGCATGGAAAATTTTTTGTTGGGAACGTCACTCCGATCCTTAACAGCCCTGCAATACGCAATTCAGATTTAATTGGTGCTCCAACGTGGGATTTATGAAAATAATGTATTGTTGTCGTATTGCTAGAATCGGAATTCCTTTACAAACTAATTATAGGTTTAGACCTTGGCTAATAGAAAAGCTCCAATTAACCCCTTTAAGACTAATGATAAAACACCGCATGGCGATCACATTAATAATGCCAGTTAATATCTCAAATTCGTACAGGCTCGTCAGTGCACCTGAACCTCCTGACACCTTTTACAGAAAAATTGTGGTTGTTATATGAGAGAATTGATGATCTTTTGTAAAGTTTGTATGAAGATGGGGTCTACTCCAATTGAATTAGTCAACTTGTATAAATGCTGTAAAGAGGTAAGTAGTAGGAAATTTCTGTGATAGCATTAGACCTACCTACCCTAAAGTGGCTCCATACTCTACAGAAAATTGTACACAATGTACAACAAAAAGTTAAAGCTGATGAAGCAGCCAAGAAAAAGAAGGGTAATTTCTTTGTCACCAACAGCTCAGCTAGACTTGACTCATTTTCTTCTTGTTTGACAACTGTTTTTTTTTTTTGGTAGAAAAGATGATATATTAAACACACTAGTTATTACACAGAGTGGTTACATAGCAGGGTTGAACATTTGTTGATTGCATAGTAGCATTAGATAAAGCAGTAGGAGTTAGAGTAAGTATCATGAGCACTAGGAGGATTATTTACAGTCCCAGAAGGGTGGAAAAACTACGCTGACTATTTTTACGCGGGTAAACAGTGCCTGCTTTGCCAGCCCAGAATGCATTGGTAATGCAATCTGGAGTTTGGTCGAAAACTTGCAGTGAAAACCCTGCTGGTTGTTCCTTTGACATTGGATTGGATTGACAGTTTCAGTGTTTAGTTCCTATCTACCAACTATTTCTACCACATGTAGATTTGATAGTGGATCGATGTCAATAAACTCTACGCTTGCTTGATAGTGTCAGAGAGTATTTGAGCTCTACATCCAAAGGAAGAATAGTTGCTCAACCACCAAGCTACATTCGATTCCTGGAAATAGTTTCCCTTTGTTCCGTTTGCTTTGTGATGTGAGGCGACTTACTGATAGTTCCATGGCTTCTTTCATCCACCCGTTTTGGTGAAGTTTTCTTGTTTCTCACACATTCATCTGCAATAGGATTATGGACAGGCTACTCATCAGTAAATGTGAAGGTGTGATTTTAGTTCATAATGAAATGCAGCATTCTGGTCTAGGAGAGGTGTGGTGTGACCTTTAATAATCAACAACAACATACCCAGTGAATCCCACAAGTGGGGTCTAGGAGGGTATTGTGTACACAGACCTCACCACAAGTTCACAACCCCGTGAGGATAGAGAGGCTGTTTCCAAAAGACCCTCGGCTCAAGTGCAATAAATCCAAGTAAAAGAAGAAGACATGACCTTTAATAATAATACCAGGATATAAAGATCTCGTGAATCTCTTTCTCAGGCCCAGACACTAATTGTTCTGTTACAAACAGAGGAAAAGCATGTGCCCTTCATAGGCCGTGTCACCGGTGTTATTCTCTAAGTAATCCAAGACACTAGTTGTTCTGTAACAAACAGAGGAAATATGTGCCCATTCATAGGCAGTGTTACCGGTGTTGTTCTCAAAGCAATCATGGTCCCACTTTGCACTGCAATCGTGAACCAAAACCAAAAGAGTGAAACTTGTCAAAACTACTTATAAGTAATCAAAACATAGATGCTACTTATTACTTTTATAGAGGTCGAAGTTAACAAGCCAGACAACAGACAATTGGTGCATTCAATCTTGGCTTAATAAGAGATGGAAGGTCATATATAGGCTATAGCCATTAACACTATCACAGCTATAATTCTGAAATTTATCTGATGTTTTTGCAAATGGTAACACATTTTGTCTGTTGTAATTAAAAGTTAACACAAAGACTAGGTTTCTTATGTTTCGCATTTTCCTTCAAAAGAAGCATAAGAAAACTGAAGGAGATCATGAGCAAGGTTGAACCTCACCTGCATCTCTTGCTCCACCGTCTCACATTGTGCTGCATCTTTGATTGAACCTCCCTGCTATAACAAGAGATATACTTATATTTAAAACAGAGATTTCTGCTAATATAACTGTTATACCTGTACTCAAACTATATACTGGAACAAAATAACAACGGATTAATGAAGTTTTGAGCCCACACAAAACTGTGTATCACACTACACGTGATCTTTGAAGCCCAATTTTTAAAGAATCCCAACAATAACATTCGGAGAGGGTATCAAATGAAAATCATACAACAAAGTCAATATAAAACTCAGTACTCAAAAAAGCAGAATGCATACAGTAAATGTATACAAATTGAACTCACCTTTTACTTGGTACAAAGATGAAAATGGCTCCTGCGGAAGTGTATTGCAAAAGTTAGAGAATGATCATTACCTTTCGACATGAAAACATTTGATGCAGAAGGGTTAAACTGACACATAACGTGCAAGGAACTTCTGGTTTTTCCAAAATGAAAATTATATTGAAATGGTTTAAACAAGTTTCATAACTATTCTTTGAGTCTTGGATTGAAGCTCTACTTGGGGGAATGGAGATTATCAGATCGAGGAGAATGTTCCCTTACTTGAGGAATCTGGATACAGATTAAGTTGAGACCTATGCATTTTTTGCCAACTATGATTGTAGCTCAAATATCACACAGCAAAGCCAAATATTCTAGCTGCATGTCCATACGAAAGACTCCAATTAGCCAATTTGTACAAAGGAAATAGCAATTGAAATATTCATCTGCCAAAAAGACCATGATACTTCAAAACAAATATGATAATTGATTACTAAGGAGAAATCCTAGTCCTTCATTCTCACTGAAAAGGTGAGTAAACTAATCAAGGAGACAATAATTTATCTTCACAAACCATTTTAGAGCCAGTTAAATTGTAAAAAAAAAAAGTGCTCCTGTGGGTAAAGCAGCTCTATTGTCCATATGGAAATTCGAGCATATGGTACTATCAAGGATTTTCATTTTTCCTGTGACTTGCCTGCACTTCTTGAAATCTCTTCAAAATGACAGCATAAATTTCTGGCATCCATAACTCAAATAGTGGCTATTACTTCATCGTAATTTCCCTCAATTTGTAGCATTATCTTTTCATTTTAGAGCACTTATTTTCAAATTCAACCAATTGATTTGCGAGTACTTTTAGGTACCAACTGAATTAATGTTGCATGATTCCAGAATCTGATCTAAGCATTGAAAATTTTAATTTCATGTTAGCCTTCAACTCACCTGGGTTAATCATGGCTCACACAAGCGGATATACGATGAAGAATCAATTGATAAAATTTACTGATTATATGTAAATCAAACCATTGATGAGCTCCTGTCAATAAGGGAAAGAAGAAAGAAAACACAATGGGAAAAAGAAAGAAGAATCAGCATAAAATAATTATCAATATTAGAAGAAGATTTTGTAGATGATAGGAGGGAGAGAGCACAGTTTCATGACAAACGGGAAAAAGAAAATCATGAGGTATATTACCTATATTTAAGAAATATGGCCTTTGTTTCTAATGTTATTGAGTATTTGACATTTTAACTGGCTTCATTGGTCACGGAGTAATGTTGTTCACAATTTCCGTATCTGCTTGTACCTGTCACAACGAGATGCTCTGTTGGTTCATCATTATTTTCTCTCATTTGTAACAAGGCAACAGTTGCTGCCTATATGGAATTCACACTCCATCAAATGGATGTGCAAAGTACCTTCCTGAATGGATTCTAAAGGAGGACGTATATGTCAAGCAGCCTCAAGGCTTTGCAAACACTGAATTTCAAAACCATGTTTTCAAACTTGACAAAGTAAATCCCAAGAAGTTATCCATTCCCTGATGGTGGAACCAACTTGGGATCTTCTTCTCAGGATGCTCAATGATGAACACTCTTAGTGACAAGTTAAATGTGGAGGTTCAATTTAGAATTAGAGGAATTAAAAGTGCTAAACAGAGTCATCCCACATAAAGCTTTTAAAGTTATGTAATGTTCAAGAAACTTCTGGTTTTTCTAAAATGAAAATTATTTCGCAAGTAAAATGGTGAACATCAGTTATAAAAGAGTTAGTTATAAAAGAGTTGGTTCTTTCAGATAAGATTGCCATCACAATAGTAAGCATCTGTAGCATTCAAGATTAGTTCTATAAATTAAAATTCGAGTTACGTTCTAGAAATGAAATTCAGAGTGCTCACTTCATCAAACATCTTCAGAGTTCAGTCTATTGCTCCTGCTTAGTTAACTGTCAACTGCACAGGCCTGAAAACCCCACTAAAATTTACTGCATGGAGGAAAAACTAGTTCTGTAACTAATACAGCACATAATTAAATGAAGAACTAAGAGAATGTTTCCCTTACTTGAAGAAGTAATATGATATATAAGCATCTACAGATTAGTTGAGAACTATTCCATTTTTTTTTTCAAATGTAGGGGATTGATGCTAAAACATCACACAGCAAACCAAAGAGGTTTAGATATAAGTCCTTATCAAAGACTCCGATTGCGGATCACCCAATTTGAACAATGGAAATAGCAATTGAAGTATTCATCTGAAATGATACTTCAAAATGAATATGATAATTGATTCTAAGTAGGAATCCTGGTCCTTCATTCTCACTGAAAAAGGTGTGTGAACTAATTAAAGAAACAAAAAATACTTGATTTCAGAAAATCACTTTAGAGCCAATTGAATTGTAAAAAGAACCACAAATGAACAAGTCGAAAAACAAAATTGAGTATAATATAGAACTTACGAGAAATTTGTTTCCAATACTCTATGAAGTCGTTTGGTGTGAGATATAAGGTATAATATTCTAGGGATAAATGCAA